CAATTTAAAAGACTATATACATATAAATTCATACAAAATTATACAAACACTTAAGATCCAACTACTATAGACGTTTAATTAAAGCATTTATTTCTATTGCTTGTGTTCTCACATGTACGATCGGACGAGATTTAATATTTAATAATATTACTTGTTTCAAGTATTTTAAAAGTTCATATATACACAAATCTATAATAAATTCGACTAATACAAACTAAATTATGGACGAATGAGAATCAGCGCGAACGGAGATGCGCAATAAATAATTTACGAATAATCTTGTTAATTCATCCGTGTTGATGTCATCTTTATTCGTCTTAAAATCTTAAACGTTCTGTTTAAAGAAAGCAACATGTATACTAAGAGATAAATTCATGAAGACAATTTCTTTAGTTTTAAACTCGACGATTTTCAGTTTTAATGATGAGTTCTACAAACAAAAACGATATTCTGATATGATGGGTTCCCTCATCATAGCAGATCTTGTATGTTGAAAGATTTGAAGGAGAAGGCGCTTAAGATCATAGGTTTAGATTCTAATTTTTATATAAAATATGTGGATGATATCGATAGTCCCTGCAGATTTAATAGATACGGTATTAAGAACATTCAAATCGTTTCACAATAGATTACAATTCACCTTGGAAGTCGGTGGGGACAGAATAAATTTCTTAGACATAATAATCATAAAAAAAGTCCGTTAAACCATATCGACACGCAATTCATCATTTTTTGAAATTAATTCATTTATATGAATATATATATAATAGTTCAACATCTTAACATTCAGACCGTAACGGCGCTTCGTACTTAAAGTAAAATACTTTTTATTAAAGAAAAAAAATAACTGCAGTTATTATTTAAAAAGAAAGGAGTAAATAGATGCGTCACTTTTCTTAATAATAAAATGATGTTTTTCTATGTGTATAGCGAAACATTTTTCCTGATATAACTTAATTGGGTACGCCTTGATATATAAGTTGATAACGATATTCATCCAATTATTACGGTGACAGTGTTATCCGTTTAAGTTTAAAATGCTGATTTCATTCACAAATCTCAATATAGTCAGCACTCGCACTAAAATCTCATCACAAAAAATAAAACAGAATAGCCATTTTGTGAATGATACTTTTGTCGCTTTCGCTTCCTCCGTACCGACAAATGTAATGCTTTGATTCGCATAGCTAAAATCAATCAATTCGAAAATTACGAAATTTCTCACTGTCATTCATATTTTGTTAGCACTGTTATTTTTCTTATTTCGTTTCCGAACGCGGTTATCCGATCAGAACAAAATTATGCGTCCGTGAAAATCTCGCGAAATTTTTTACATATCGAATTCCGAAACAAAGACAATCAAGTTGAATCACGATGGAGGGGAACGAACGGAGTGGAAAATACGGATTATGTCCGAACAGCATCGAGATGCTGCCGGCGCCCTCGGCAAATATCAAAACTCCAATATGAAATGAAAAGAAAACAATTTACCTGAAGCCGCGGTGAAAGCTAGTGAAAGCCTCCGGCGCGAGTCGATATCCTGGACCGCGTTGAAACAGATGCAAATTCAGACGTGAATTAGAATTCGTGTGCCAGAGCATAAGAGCATCCGCGATAGCTGGCAACCGACCGTTAAAAAGCCGCAACGAACGCGATCGATGCGGTTTTTAATCCGTTGGATTAAAAGGATTATCACCTCGTCCCCGTTGACTTGACGAAATTTCCGATAGACCGTCGACCGCGTTCGAAAACCGCCTCAGTTGCGCTGAATCTGAATATGTCGCGCTTCGCACGTCGTTTTGGCGTGCCAACTTCATGGTGGCGACATCCCGCGTTCCGCGTCGGTACAGCAGAACAAATAGCAATTCTGTCATATCAACGATCAAACTTCCAATGAATTGCTGTTTTATCGATTTAGGCCCGATTGCATCAACCTGTGATTTTAAGTGAGATTAATGGCTGCAGCACAGACTGATAACGCATAATGCGTAGTGCATAAGGAAATCAATCAATCGAAATTCTTCTTTTTCATGGAATAGGAGGAAAGAAAAGATTCTGATTAGTTGATTCGCTTGTACACTATACGTTATGCAAAAGTCTGTGCTGCGGCTTACACGCATTCTACAATAAGCCAATAATCATAAATCAAAAGTTAGAAGTTGGAAATTGACGACAGTGATTGGTCAATTTCTAACTTCTAATTTATGGCTAAAGACTTATTATAGAATGGCCATTATAAGCCTTCTACAATAAGCCATTAGTCATAAATCAAAAGTCAGAAGCTAAAAATTGACCAATCACAGTCGTCAATTTTTAACGTTTGACTTCTGATTTATAACTAATGACTTATTATAGAATAACCATTAAGCCGGTTCTACATTAGTTGCAAACTGATCGCAAGTTTGTTATGACAGCCAATATGAAGCGTTGATATCAAAATGCAAGCTTCAGATTGGCTGTCGCAACAAACTTGCGATCAGCTTGCAACTAATGTAGAATTAGAGAATTACCACAGTATAACTAGTAGAGACACTCAGCGAAAAAATCCGTATTCGCACAGGTATGGCTGCGCAGTTTTTGTTTTAGGCCGGATCCAATGAAATGCAAGATGACAAGAATGTACATATTACACAGATCCCGTGTGATATCCGTGGCAAAAGAAGACAATTTAAGAGTTGCGCCCTAAATATTTCTAAAAAAATGAATAAGAAAAAGAAAAGTTATGTTACAGTATTAAACAATACAGTAATAATAGTAAAAATTTACTATGCACTTTTTTTTCGTTTATCCTAAAGATATCGTAAGGTAAGTTTTTATAATTTACAAAAAGTAAGTTTATGCTAGGTTAACTTATATAATTAAACATAATCAAATGTAATTTTGTGAAAAAAGATAACATTTTTACATTGACTACGTTTACACGGCATCCTTAATTATGTTTTTTAGAGCAAAGCAATGGACTATCACATGGGGCACTATACCTTCTTTCGATCCTGGATTTTTCAAACGTTAACATGGTGGATGCTCACGTGACTGTGACGCGTCAAAAGTGCCAACACCAAGTGTCCCTACTGGTTTATACTGTGGAATTACTAGAAACGTAGGTATTCGCGTCCATTATTTTATCCCTTTTGTCACTCCTTGCTCTATCCCCATTCCATTACTGAGCTATGATGGATTATGGTCATTATAAGTTATGATTTGTATTTGCTGCTTGAAATTTTGTAGCTCCTTTCATTCCATTTTTATTCTCAAAATCAATTGAATATCTATCATATATTATTATTATAATTGATTGATATTATTATAATTGAATATCTATCATAATATTAGTGCAGGACTTAAAGAATGTCTAGCGTTATTTCTAGATAAAGTGTATAATATGTATGTCAATTTGAAGAAAAGGATTGAAATTTCTCATCTGCGAAGAAGTGTAGTGATGTTTATTCACAAGTCTTGTATTTATTTTACAGCAAGTTGTCAACGAATATTATCCGCAGGAAATTTAAATAATCGAATACCTTTTTCTGATTTATTGATACAGTTTACCGCAACAAGACATTTTATAAATTTTTTTGCCTTCGTTAATATATAATATTTCAGTTTTTTTATATCCTTCTTTTTGTCTCTTAACCTTATGGTAAAATTTCGAAATGCGGAAATACATAAATACAAAGCTACAAGGTTTCCAACAGCTTAGAAAGTATAATCTATAATAACGATTATAACCTTCTCAACGATGGAGTGGTCAGCGAATAGAGGAGTAGAAAAAGGAGTAAAAATGGCGAATACTCACATTTAGTGCCTAGTAGAATTGGCTTTAGGCAAGTCGAAACTGCATATGCGCAATTCAACTTTTCACTAAATAGGGAATTTTTGCAATAATGTGAATATGATAAATATTAAAGTCACGTTATCCTTTTCTTAATTAAATCTTGTTAAAAAGGAAATCTGACCTTAGTGTTCACCGTATCTGGATAAACAGTATTGCAAAAACTCCCTATTACAGGTCTACATTCCAAAACGGTCTCTCTGAAAAAAATTTTTTCGTAATAGTTGCTTTCCATTTACACAAGTAAAACTAATTGTAAGTCTAAAATTGAGTATATCATACTCAGATTATAACGGTTATCATATTTTTTAAAAAGAAAATTATTTTTTAAAAAGAAAATAAAAGACAAATCTGAAAATTTTAGGGATTTGTTTATAGATATTTTCAACTAGTTTGACTGACAAAAATCTATACATTATAAAATTTTATGGCACAGTATAATCAAATTGAGATAATGCGCAGTTTTCTAATAGTTTGAAACTGGTTCGATTGTATTGAAATAAATCCTTGATCTGAAATCTTTGATTTTAAAATGCAAGCTTCAGATTGGCTGTCGCAACAAACTTGTGATCGGCTTGTATCTATATTTTGCAAGTGTTGAAAATTTTCTTCGCGTTGATTGGATTATATTTTTAGATCTAGAAGAATGATCCTATCTCATCAGAGAATCATAAAACAGTTGTAAAACTGTTGTGTTCTGCTGAACGCAGCTATTGATTACAAAGATACAGAACAAATAAATATAATATAATATTTTTTTTAACTTTTAGAGGTGACTTAAAAATACGAAACATAAATAATAAAGAAGATATCTTTCTCAACACAAGATATCTTTAACGAAGACGTATATTTAAAAATTTTAATATAAAAAGAAGACATTTAAAGTGCTTTAAGTGCTTGTAATCATTATTTTGTCTTTATCGTTCATTATAAAAGAAATACTGAAAAGCGTTAAAAGCGTCCAACTCGATTGCAATGTTTATTTGAAGTGCATTATTTTATTCTCGTTTAATATAGTAAACAACAAGGATAAAATGATGCATCCAGAGTGAAGTTTCTAAACAATCATTTGCATAAGTCTCATTCTACGTTCTATTCTTTATATGTATGATATCATGCTTGTATGACTATCTGCTTCTAGTCGGCATTCGAATTTCGAATCGGCATCAGTCCACATCACAGTCGGCAGTGGCACAAATCGGCATTAATGATGGAAGTCACTCGGCTTATTTGTAGTGACGCGTTTCTGACTGTAGTGACATTGACCTTCATTTGAAGACAGATGCTATAAAAAAGAAGAAGCTGCAGTGACGCGTTCGTTGTTGTTATATTGTGTTACATATCCTTCAATATCCTCACTTTAGCAGTTCTAACATTACTGCTACATAATTGCTAACCTAACCTATATTCGTGAAGACTAATGACTCGTTAACGTATTTATGTGATTTTATATTGATATTTAGACAGCTGTGTGACAATAAATAATGGCGTCAGGATTAGAGAGTTACGTGAATCGTATCCTTTTTGTATAATTTATTATTCAACTGAATTGTGACGAACGTAATAAATGTATTAACCTTTAACTGACTAATTTACCTAGATACAGTTTCTATTATCACGTCGGATGGTAGGAATTTCATTGTGAGTACACAGATTATTCGCAAAATTATGAGAATTCCGATTTACATACATACATAGTTTGTAATTGTTTTGTTTGTTCAGAAAAATAATTATAATAAAATACAATATTATGTTTACATTATTTTGTAACTCATGATTATTAAATTTAAATATTTCTATATTTATGCAACTTTTGAAGTTTACTTTTGAACTATTAAAGTTTTATTCATTGACAGAATGTAATTATGCAATTGAATTTTTTAAAATATTCGAATAGCATTATCAGATCATTCTAGTTTAGTATCTTACAAATATTTAAAAAATAAAGCTATAATTCTTTGAAAATGTTTCTCACGAATGTTTTATATTTCAAAACTTTAGTTATATAATTGCATTCTGCTAAAAAATAAAATTTTAATATCAATAATAATGTTGAAAAAAAGTTATATGTTTAATATCTCTAATAATTATTCAGCTTATCATAAGCCAAATTTTCAGGGTACCCTGAAAGGTTTTGATCAAACTATCAATCTAATTTTGGATGAATCACACGAGCGTGTATACAGTACGACACAGGGAGTGGAGCAGGTTGTCTTGGGCTTGCACATTATCAGAGGAGATAACGTGTCAGTATAATTTCTTGAGATATAAACTGTGTACACACAAAGTAGTTTTAATAATCGTATTATAATAATTGTTCTTTTTATTATTACATCAGTATTTATCACTAGAAAAATATAGAAAAATAATTTCACTTTGCACTAACATTTATGAAAATAAATATCTAACATAAATATTCATGAAGAATACACATTATTACTTATCATGGTGTTCTTCTTTTTCAGAGCGATAGTAGGAGAGATAGACGACGAAATGGACGCAAGATTGGATCTATCAACAATACGAGCTGACCCCCTAAGTTCTATTACCCATTAATGAATATATCTGAAATTGCAATTTGGAATCGTCGTCTATTCTCATCTAAATTTAAAATAAGAACATTATCGCGAGCATTATAAGAAAAAAAAGTAATACAACTTTTCACATAGGTTGTATATTGTACAAAAATCTTCCATTTGTCATATGTAGACACATGTTTAGCATATAATAACTGTATTTTAAAAAGTGCACAGAGTTAATACAGCAGTATTTACATCATTGAAACAAACCGAAAACTTTCGTTTGAATCAACAACTCTCGTCTGTACAAAAATCTTGCTACATATAATGATAGTAAACTTTACAAATGTATTTTCTTTACAAATGTAATTTCGCTCTGCGTTTATATAATGTAGCAATAATAATAAACAAAAGTGTATAGATTAACATCGATTAAGGTCTATAATTCAGTGAAAGTCAGTGTCCTGTATCTATTCTTAGATTCATTTCAAAGAAGATACATATAGCTAGAAATTTCTGCTTTTTTAAATCGCAATATTATCATTAAAGTTCAGACACGCAAGTCCGTACTACCAAAAAGAATCAGTAGAAGAGCTAAATAATTAATCTGCATCGGAAGTGTGCGAAATTATAGAAATTACAAATTATATTATGATACTTCGATATATGATTTGCATGTTTCTAATCGAAGCGTTTGGAATCTATACATATTCATATATCTTCTTCTTTAAAGCGTAAAAAAGTACTAAGTTACATATTTTGTAAAATCGATATACATTAATTTTTTTACAAAATATTGCAGTTCATCTTAGAATCTCTACATCTCCATGACACGTAAAGTTGTATATGTCGATTTACGAATCGTGGATGTCAATCGTGAAAAGTAATAACACGTGTCTTACAGATCGCAGGCATTCACATGTCTTTTGTGGAAGACGTTAATTATAAATTCAATCATCTTTATCAACATTCACTTGACATTTTAAATGTTTGTTTATTTTCGATTAATTATTTCGGCGCGACTTACGTGTGCTAAGTGTCTTTTCGTAGAATCTATTTATTGTAAACGAATGGATACATATTTGTAATGGTCTATATATATATAAATATCTCCTATATTATGAACTTACATATTTAATTAGTGTTCTTGAGAATTATGCAACGAATTATAAATAAAGAGTGATGGATCCGGTATAGTCTGAGTGTTGGAATACATCGACTTTTATGTGGTATTCCAAAGGAAAATTGCACATATATGAGCATTGTGATATAGCTTCTCATTTATTATAATTTAAAATTTACGTACCATGAGCCATCGCTCGACAATTCTCAATCTATTCATAATCATTATCGAACGTTTGTTATATTATCAAATCTTTCTCTAGAGTAAATCTACAGATTTAATTTTATGTAAATCAAAGATGTATGTGTACATATTGATAATTACTTGTAAAGAATATTTATAAATATTTACATATTTTTATAGATTTGTAAGGAATAAATCTGTAGAACTACACAAGAAAGTACCTTGATATTTATTAATACATGAAAATAAATTGGAAAGACTTTAAAATATTCTTTTGAGTGTTACATGCACGCATATATACACACGCGAATTCTATCGCTTGTGAGAATTATAATGAAAGGTGTTCACAATCTATTTTTCCTAATATATCTTTTAATTGTTGGTCACCATATTGGTCCTACTGCGATTTCTTCGGCGAACACGGCCGCCGCGCTGTCTACTGCCCCAATCGTCACTATTCATTGGACCAAAATTAGGTCCATTTGATCCATTCGGACCGAACGGATCATTGCTACCACCATTAGGTCCTCCAAAATTATTGAAATTGCCACCACAAGGATAAGGCGGCCCTCCCTCGTAATTATCCGGTCCGAAGGTACCGGGCCCAGGGCCCAACAGTCCGGCTCCATTGTTACGCTGCGCGTTGAAACGTGGATCGAAATTCATCTGACCTTGGGGCGGCATCGGAACAGGTCCATTCATACCCATTGACGGACCGTGTGGCATACCCATGGGTGGTATATTCTGCGGCGGCATCGGTCCAGCGTTCATCATAGGTCTCATTGGACCCATGTTACCCATGTTCATTGGATGGTTTGGACCCATCGGACCTATCATACTTTGAGGTGGACCCGGAATGCCGCCAGGCAGTGGACCGCCAGGCATACCAGGTCTCACTTGCATGCTGGCGGGACCAAGACCGATGTTGGATCCCATTGTCTCCATTGGCTGCATCCCTTTAGCCATCATTGCAGCATTGGTCGCATTTTGCGAGGATTGTTGATTGGAAGCTGCTGCTTCGAGAGTTTTCCGTCGTGGATCTGAGCGAACACATTGCGGCGGCGATTTCGGTGTCTCCTGCTTCATCTGTGGTGGTGGTGACATTGGCGAGTCGGCTAGTTGCTCAGGTTTAGTGATACGGAAGATCTTGCGGAGGCGCGGATCATATTTGACCTGTGCATCATTCTTCGTTAGCTTGAGGCCAGTGTAATCCGGTCTGGGTATATCGACTACATAAACTTTGTATGCCATCGGTGGATGTGATGCGATACTTGCGTCGATCTCAGTGCATGGTATATGCGCAGGTGCCGGTTTGAACGGTAGGCTCAGTATCTGCCGCAGATCCACATCGGATTTGACACGCAAATCTGTGTCACCAAAATCACCAGACTGGAAACGTTGTCGAAAATCCATGTCTTGTCGTCTGAGATCTTGATCCGCTCTCGTGCGAAGATCGGTGTCCATATTAGCATCTACCGCGGTGATACCGGAACTGTAGATGCTCGTTTCTAGCCTGAGGGGCTTCTGCTCTCTCTTCACATCAGAAGATATGCTAGGGCTGCTCGGTTTCTGCTCAACTTCTCGACGTTGCCTGGGATCCCGAGACATTCGTGGATCCCTGGATACAGACATTGTTGATGAACTCGGACCCGGTGACCGCCTCGGACTTGACGATGTCTCGCTATCCGTCTTTGTATCTTGCATTGATTTAATCTTCGACGCATCTTGATTCGAGTTTGCCGTTTGCTGCGTCTTGCTGTTCGTGGAACTCTGAGCCTTCAGGGTAGAGAGCAACTTAGATACCTCGGCACTGATATCAATCTTGCTCAGGTCACCTAATTTGTCCACAATAGCGGCCGGTTGAGGTACATTGGATATAGATGTCGCAGATTGGAAATTCTCTTTGATAACAACATTCTGAGTCTTCTCGATGGATTCAATTTCATCTTTCGAACTATCCACTATGGTAAGATTACCTCCCTCGTCATCATCATCGTCGTCGTCTTCGTCATCCGAATACCAATCTTCGATTATTTGATCGGTATTAGGTGCATCGGAATCGTTATCCATGTTTTTCAAACTGTCCTGAGCCGCGCGTTGCTGCTGTTGTATTCGCAAAAACAATTCTTGCGCTTTTTTTGGTAAACGAGGCGGCATTGTCTCGTGAACTTCTATACATGAACAAATGAGATGTTCGCCTGTTAAACACAGATATAATTGATTTTCTAATTATCTGTATGTACATAGTATTCAATGTGAATTATATTAATAACAATGAAGATTAAAAGAAACAGAGTGTCTCACAACTACCGCACTTTTCTCTTAAAAATATATTCTTGAGGTAATTTTGAGACAAAAATCCTAAATACAAAAATGTCGAGGCTACAACAGTTTTTGAATTATAATTGATTAAAGATAGTGTGTAATTCGAAAATTATTACAGAATGTTTAAAAGAATCCAGAAATAATAATAGAGACTATAAAAGTAAAATTTTTTAAAAGTTTTTAAACATTTTACTTTTATAAGCATTTAAAATTAGGTTATAATTCAAAAAATTATTGTAGTTCGAGTTTTTTGTACTAGGATTTTCGTCTCAAAATTACCTCAAGAATATGTCCTTAAGAAGAAATGTAGTAGTTGTGAGACATCCTCTATAAAATATCAATTAGTAAAAAAATATAGGTAAACATTATTAAATATATA